CCATTAGATCGATCGATTCATCGATCTTCTTATATTTCACGAACATCGAACGTAAATATATTTTATTTATACGTATCGTTCATTAATCAAACATCATGCATAATATTATATATATATATATAAATATTTGTATATATATATATACATATGTAACATAGTTTTTGTCGTTTGTCTCTCTGTCTCTCTCTCTTTCTCTCTATCTCTCTCTATTTCTCTCTCTTCGCGATCGGATCTTTATATAGAAGACGAATTAATAATTACGTTTAATTAATCGATGGATTTACTATATTATCTTCGATGAATCTTTATCTGATTAAAAAATTAATTAATTAAAAATTTAGTATTGAATAAAAATTTTTCTTTTTAGAATGATAACGCGAGAAGAAATATTGTTCGGAAATAAAAAGTTACAAATTTCGATTTCGGACAGAAGATAGAATATAAAGGAGACAATAAAAGATCGGGTTTTTTTTCTATTTTTTTTTTTTTTCTTTTTTTTTTTTAATCTCCATAGAGAGTTAACGATAAAGTTAATCACATTGCTCTAGATATTTTGAATCAATCTTTCGACGACTGTTATTTTTTTTCCTTTTCTTCTTTTTAATTTCTTTCCCCTACCACCTATCTAACTCCCACCCACCCGATTTCCTTTTCGATAATAAAATCGTAAATGGGAGATAGAGCTTGTGTGTCGATCGATTCTTCATTAGAGCCAAAGGTCAGACAGAAAAGTAAAATAAGAGAAAAATTGCTATATATATGGTATGGAGATAAGATAAATCCCTAAATTTGTGTCCTCGCTGTGATTTTCTTAAATCAGGGTCAACCTGATGTGATCGAAGTCAATTAGTTTGCATTATGCATCGACTTAATTCGAAACTGTGACTTCTCGATTTTTTATTGACCTCATCGATTTAATAAATCTCACGAGAAAATTTTTTCTAATTCTAAAATGAATACACAAAAACAAAAGTAATATATGTAATATGCATGTACATATCGTGTATATAAGTAAATAAAAAATAAATTAAAAAATATAAATAAAAAAAAGAAAATATATATATATATATACATATTCTATAAGCTCTTCGTCGTTCCTATAAAAACGTAAAACAAATCGAAACAAATAAATCTAAATACGTACGTTTATATCAAGAAAAATTCATGACAAATTCATAATTCGAAACTTACACCCTTATATATATATATATATATATATATATATATATATATATATACCGAAGAATCGTAAATTTTCTTTCTATCTTTTATCTTTTTTCTTTAATTATCTCAATGATATATTCGTAAGGAAAAAAAAAAAAAAAAAAAAAATACATTGCGAAAGAAGAAATCGAGCTAATCTCGCAGACGTAACCCAGACAATGGTTGCTATTTGAAAAGTGGTGCTACCAGTAAAAGAGATTTTCTTGATGGTGGTGGTGGTTCTGGTTATGTTGAAGGTATTACTGGTAGTTGTGATAATGATGATGGTAGTAGTAGTATGGTGGTTATAGTAGTGGTGGTGTGGTGGTGGTAGTGACGAGAAGATAAACGAGACAAATGGCTGCCGTGAAACTTTTCTCTCTCTCTCTCTCTCCCTCCCTCTCTTTCTCTCTCTCTCTCTCTCTCTCTCTCTCTCTTACTCTCCCCATTCCCTTTTCCATCCCTTTCGTTTCTTCTTATCGTTAGAGAAACGTTTCACTTTTAGACTCGTCTAGCTTTTTTCGATTACTCCCTGCAATCTCCAAGAAGAGAAACAGTAGACGACACAAAAGGGGTTGAAATTTTTTTTTTCCTCGAAACGTTTTCACGCTTTCGTGTTTTTTCTTCTTTCAAAAGCGGAGCTACGATTCTTTTAGTCTCAAAAAAAAAAAAAAAGAAAAAAAGAGAGAGAGAAAGAGAGAAAAAGAGAAAAGAAAAAAAGCCCCCGGTTGGCAAGAAAAGCCGTTCTGTATTTTCTCGTTTAAGCTATTCCAGCACGAAAGAATTATAGAAAACGGCAGGTGCCGGCACGCTTGAGACCAGTTTGTTGGCGACGTTTCATAAACTTACTTGAAAAATATACCTTTTTGGTATGTTGAACGAGTAATTTTCTTTTCTTTTTCTTTCTTTTTTTTTTTTCTTCTTCTTCTTCTTCTTTTAATTTCCTTCCTTTCTTCCTTCCTTTATTTCTTTCCTTCTTTATTTATTTCTTTATATCTTTCGTTCTTTCTTTCTTTCTTTCCTTCCTCAGTTATTTATTTTTACTCGAGAACGCAACGTTAATATACATAGATTTTACTTGAAGTATAATATGTTATATTAATTATTTCTTCGTAAGAGTATATGTATATATATATTTTTTTTTCTTTTTCTTTCTTTTTTATGAGAGAGTGGGAGAGAGAGAGAGAGAGAGAATGAAAATGATCGTACAATTCGGCTTTCAATAGAATGGATATGGAACGAATCGATTTATTAGTATTCTGTCAAGGGAAATGCGTCATTCTGCTTTGTCATCCTATTGGTCCATTTAGATTTGATTGGACCGTCAAAATTAATGTTAACTTTCTATAAAGCCATGTAACTTTGATTTGGCACACACTGATACGCATAAAAACAAATATATATATATATATATACATTTTTTTTTATATATATGTTATAGAAGTAAAAAATAAAAAAATATCTACATATGCATGTGTATATATATATATATATTTTTTTTGTTTTGTTTTGTTTTGTTTTGTTTGTTTTAGTATTATTTATTTTCATTAAAAAATTTCCTTTCATTTTATTACGACAAACATATAATTTTTATCCGATATTTCATAGTTTGTTCAAGATAAGTTATATTCGATATAATATAGATTAAAACCTTTTATAATACGTTTAATTCGTTATCGTTCGTAGTTTTATCGAAACTGTGTTAAGCGAAAATTCGATCCTATACGATGGATATTATGAATTTATTTAAGTCGTTCTATATCGAAACCTATATTATAAAAATATCGTTTAACAAGAGAGATACTTGCAATTTTTACAAACTTTTATATCACGAAATCGTCTTTTCAAATTACACGCGTTATAAGAGTATATTGAACGTAATTATAAATACTTTTATAAAAGTTTCTATTCTAAAAGTTTCGCAATTAGTATGAATTTCTTCGTTCTTGTTTCTTTCTTTTTTTTTTTTTTTTGAATGAAAAAAAAAAAAAAAGAAACAATTCCGATTATAAAGAGTTAAACGACTCGCGTTCACATTTATCTTACTTCTAGTGAACTTCGATGATTCTTTCTTTCTCTCTCTCTCTCTCTCTCTCTCTCTCTCTCTCTCTCTCTCTCTCCCTCGCCCCTCCCCTCCTCCTCCACACTTTTCTTCTTCTACCTTCTCTTTTATTCATTAATGAAATAATAGAATTTAATTAAAGAACAATTCGTGACATTTAAACGCAAACGTATCTTTTCTCTCTTTTATTTCACTTTTTTCTTTTTTATTTTTCTCTTTATTTATTTGTTTATTTATTTCTTTCTTTTTTTTTTTTCTTTTTCTCCTTTTCCTCTTCTTTCTTTTTACTTCCGCTCTTTCATCAACGTCGCTCTTTTCCTTTTGGTTTCACTTTTCTGGCTACCGTCCAATCTGCAAAGTCCACGATGCGGAATTTCTCTACGAAGCTTTGCAATTTCGTTCTTTACGTTATCTTACGATAATCTCGTTGAAATTCTCATCGAATATACAATGCGGGAACATCGAAAAAATTACAACGAATGTCTATTCATTTTTACGTAATAAATAATAATAATAATAATGATAATAATAATAATAATAATAATAATATTAATAAAGATAATAAATCGTTTCAATATTAATTCTAATCGTATATCATCGATTCATCCTGTGTTTCGATCGACCTTTGACATTACCTTTTAACGAATCTTTTTTTTTCTATGCCCCGTCTTTTTTCCCTTCGAAATCAAATTTTGCGAATATAAACGAATATTAAACGAACGCAAACGAGCGCGGCTTATTTTCGTAAAAATATATTTCGAATATTCAAATATATTACGTATGTACATGTTACGTATGCACATTTTCTTTTTCTTTTTTTTTTTTCTTTTTTTTTTTTTTCTTTATTCAGGCCTCATCAAAATTCTAGGTACGACGAGTACGAAGAGACTTACAACATCGAGATTGTGTTATATTTTTGAAGGAAAAAAAAAGTGTGGATGGTTTTTAAAAATTATCATTTTCCAGGATAAAAATGAGATAAGCTTAGAATAAGAATTCGATTAATCTTATGAAACGAATTAATTGACGAAAGAAATTTTCGGATTTGATACATTTTTTTCTTCTTTCCTTTTTTTTTTTTATTTATTTATTTATTTCATTCTTTTTTCATTTCGAGTTACAGTTTCAAAGGAAAAAAAAAAAAAAAAAAAAAAAAAAATAAAATAAATAAAAAAAGAAAAAGAAAAAAGAGAAAGATCGGTCGACCGTAGGCGTAAGTACGAAACGTACCTTTTACTGATCAACAGGTGTCATAGAAGACGATCTACGCGTAAATGAAAGGCAAAGGAAAACGCGTTGACTTTTAATACGAAAGAGGATCAAAGTTTTTCTATCCTTTTCTTTTTTTCTTTTTCTCTTCTTTCTATTTGAACTTTTATTCCTTTCTATTTCCTCTTTTTTTTTTTTTTTTTCTTTTTTCTCCTTACTCGAATTAGACGCGAAGTCCATGACAAGTAATTTTTACGTGTCTCTTAGCCAAAAGAAAAAAGAAAAAAAATGAAAAAAAAAAAAAAAACGCAATTCAATTCGTTGCATATGATTTTAAAAGCCAAGAGAAATTGTGTATTTTGTACGATTGAAAAAAAAAAAAAACAGAAAAAAAAAATGAAGAAAAGATCGTATCGTGTAAACGAACAGATAAAAAGGAGTACGTATTATCGACACACGAGGAACGATAGTAAAAACAATTTAATAATAATATTAAATATTTTATAATAATCATGAATATACTTACACGTATCCGCGAGTAATTGTGGAAGATATCTTTTCCAAAAGGCGCACTGTCTCGTTCTGATTCCGTAACCAACATCGGAATTGTTTGTATCGAGAGTGAGATATTCCTTCTTAACGGCAGTGTGAGTCGGCCAATGAGGAAGCGTCCACGAGGTCGAATCACCAATGTTTGGATCTCTGTAAAGAAAAAACAACAAAATATATTCAATGATTGGTTATCTCAATAGCGTCTATTCCGTGTGTATGTAATGTGTTTATAAACATATCCTATGATCTCTGAGTAATACAAAGAGAGTACAACAGATAGACAGAGACAGAGAGACAAAGAGAGAGAAAGAGAAAGTATCATCTTTAGAATAATACGTATAAACGTATTAATATATTTACCCGGATTTTGCAAAATTGGCCCAGTACTTCATCATCCTTTTAGAAAGTAAGATCTCCTCTTGCGTGTATCCTTTCGTAGTGTCTAATGGTTCCCCGAATATATAATTAATTTCGTCGGCGTGCATTACTCCAGTCCATTTTGGCCAAGGATTGTTCGCTGATCTGAAGAAAAAGGGAAAAAGAAGAAAGAGAGAGAAAGAGTGAGTGTACTACGATAAAAGAAAAGAAAATTACAAGAAGTTTTCAATATTGAAGACATCGAAAAATTCGATGAAAATACTGTCATTTCATTTATAAAGGTATATACGTATATATTTATATTAGAATAATATTAATCTTAAACTATAGCAATATATTTAGTATTAACAATGAAAAATTGACGTGACGTGACGATATAAAAAGAAATCAATATTTTATCAAAGAATTTTTATAATTTTAAAATATTTCAATTTATTCGTTCGACGATATTTACGCGTAAAAATATATTTATACGTATTAATCGTTAAACGTTTCAAAATATGATATTGTATAGAACGTTTTTAAAGATTGTTATGAATAAAATATAATATTTATTATATTGGAATGTGAATATTTGTGGTCAGCTTATGTTTATATAGAATTTTTTTCTCATTTTTATAACGAATAGAAGAATATCCTTTTAAAATATTGCTATCTATCTTTGAAATATTCCCTCTCTCTCTTTCTCTCTCTCTCTCTCTCTCTATATATATATATATATATATATACATATATGTATATGTATGCATATGTATATATAATAAGGGAAGAAAAAGAATTCACCATTATTTTGATGTAGCTTTAAAGAGCTACTTGGGTTAAGAGGCCACTCGAGAAGCTCATCGTGAATTATGATGATGATGATGATGATAATAATAATAATAATAATAATAATAATAATAATCGTTGAATCGTTGAAAAGCATAGTTGGTTTTACCTGTGCTTGTAGTAGTACATGTAGACGGTATTGTCAGTGTCGGCATATCGGCCGGCAAATTCATTGACGTTGCAGGTGAATTGATAATCGCCTACGAGCTTATCAATGGCATCCCGATTGATGTCGGGATCCTCTGGATGAAGCCAATCCGTATATTCGTATATAATAGCATTACGTCCTATTTGATTAACGTAAGGATTCAATTCCGAGACGGCGTTGACAAATTGTTCTCTAGTAACTTTAACATCCTCGGTACCATCGATTCGAAATAATTCGGTAAGATAATATATGATAAAGTAAATCCCTTCCTCGGTGTTAGAGCCCATTAGGATATTGGCCTTTTTAAATGAGGAACTGGCCAATGAACGTTGTGGGGTTTCATCAAGAAACGTCCCGTCGATAACAGGTACAAATGGAAATTCGCATATGCCCAATGTACCCCATTCGCTTTCAACCAAATCTTTTGAATCCTTAACGATCAGGCAATCGATTACCTCTTGCAAGTTATTCCGATCGTGTGGACAACCAACGGCTTCCGCTAACCTGATACCTCGTACTATCGATTCCTCTCGTGAGATTATAGCCCAGGGGGCTGTCGCTGAACCCGATTGCATTATCGCCTGATTGAAGAGGTGCCTAAAAAAGTCAAGCAACGAGAAAGAAGGAGAAGTCTTCTTTTTCTTTCTCGTACTCTTTATCTATCTATCTATCTATCTATATCTTTTTATCTATTTTCCCTTTTTTCTTTTTTTTTTTTTCTTTCTTTCAAGCCTGATCTAGCGATGATGAGTAATACCTGGACAACGGCGAAAGAAGGTGCATCGAAACGGACACGGCTCCTGCACTTTCTCCAAATAGCGTTATGTTGTCGGGATTACCACCGAATGCACCGATATTGTCACGTATCCATTGGAGTGCCATTATTTGATCAAAGAGACCGGCATTACCTGGTACGTCTGATGTCCCGAAATACAGGAAACCTAAACTCGCGAGTCTATATTGCATCGATACGAGAATAATATTCTCCTCGGAGACCAACGTTTTGTGATCGTAAACGTCCAACGTAGCTGTGCCGGAATAGAAACCACCTGAAATTATTATCAAATTGATTAGTTATTATAGAACATGATAAAAATGACAAATATATATGAAAAGAATTTTAATTGATTATCATTCATCATCATTATTATCATTATTATTATTATCATTATTATTATTACTATTATTAAAAAAGAAACATAGTCAGTTAGAGGTACTCACCTCCAAATATCCATACCATGACAGCGGCGTTAGTAGGCCTTGGACGTGGTGCTACCACGTTAACGTAAAGACAGTCTTCGCTCAACGGTGTGTTTGGATTCCACATGGTGGCACCTGAAAAATCCCCAAACACCGTGTCGAGAATTTGGACGCAACTGTTTGGCAAAGTTGTCGTATTGAGAACACCGTTCCAACGTTCGGCCGGTCTTGGATGTCGAAATCTTAATGGTCCTGTGAATTAAAAATGTATAAAACGTATCGCAAATAAGATCAAATAAAATAAATATTTAATTTCGAATAATTCATATAAATAAAAAAAAAAAAAAAAAAAGAAAAAAAAAAGAACAAAATCATATGTAAGATAAGGAGATGATTTACCTACCCAAAGGTTTTTGCGCATAAGGTATGCCTAACCAAGCATCGACCTCCTTTCCAGTCGTTGCCGTTAATGTCTTTCCTTTGACCTTGCCTTTTCTGGTTTGTACGATCAATGGATCATCGTTAGGATTCGAACTAAATGCCTCCGCTCTTGGATAATGTTGTTCGTCCTGTCGAAAATTTTTCACCTCCTCGTGTGATAATTCAGCATGATGTCTGCTTCTATGGGATAGCGTACACCAACAGATGTCGAGTTGAACGAGGAGCATGGCGAGACTTAGCAGCAACAGTGCTTCGACTCTTGGAAATGAACTATGACTTCTTGGCATCGTGTCCTCTC